ACTCCCCCCCCCCTTCCCCTTATTTCTCTGCTAACCCCGCACCATCCACATATATACACCCCACCCGGAGACGGATGGGTACCAATCGTCTATACAAAAGGAGATCAAAACTGTTTACAGAGGAAAATTAAACTCCTGTGCGCTAGAAGCACTTTACAGCTTGCTACGATCTAACAGGACGCCGGAGAGGAGAGCAAATGCTGCAGCCTAAAGATCCGGTGGTGACCCCAGGGAGCTCGGCTCCTCTCCTCCGCTCTCCTGCATCTCTCCCCCCTTCAGCAGAGCGGTTTGCAAATGAACGGGCGTGGGTAGAAACAGCCGAGGGTCGACCTCGCCGCAGACGGAGGAGACCGGTTTATAAGCAAGCTTCGGAAATGGCGATGGGATGGGAAGCTGGCGTCGACGGTGGCGTCGCTGGTGGCCTCGCGACAGCGCCAACGGAGTCATGACGGCTTCTGCAAGTTGTTCATGTTCTGCAACGAGAGGGGAAGGACCGGGGTTGGGGGTCGTGCTGGACCCCATCCCGGCAGCATCTTCTACACGCACATCAAGAAGGGGACGGGGGAAGTAACAGAAAGCCACGGCACGGGTCACTACAAAAACATCCACCACAGAGGAGAGGACACCGTCCACCCAGGGAGAGAGATGCAGGGGGGATGCGCTGACTTGCTACCCACACCCCTCCCTTCAAGCATCACCTGGCTTTAACTACAGGGTGGGAATTTGACAGAGATATCCCTAAAAACTGAGCTAAAAACCAAGGCAACCCTCCCACCCCACCCGATCTGCACTTCTGAAGCTGCTCTTTGGTCCATGCGAGGCAAGGTGACAGGGGATCACGGTGTTCATTCAAGGAGCCAAATTAAACACCTCTCTCTTGCTCCCCTTGAGGGCGGGCAGTGTCCCCCCCCCGCCTACCAAGGAGGTCACTGTTTGTCCATCCTTGGCGCTGCCGAGAAGATGCAGCTCCTGCCAGCCACGCCAAGGGGCCGGCATGGGGACCAGCTGCCGGCAGCAGTATGGCAGGAGCACCCGCTCCCCCAGTGACGCCCCATGAGGTTTCACGGACCCCGGAGCTGCTTCGGACACAGCCCTGGTGCAGGGTGACAACAACGGGCACCCACCAGCACGCGGCAAGGACCACAAAACCAGAGACAACCAGCTAAACACAAGCAGGACCAGCCCCGAGGGCGGTGGCTGGAGGAGAGCATCCGCTAGAGGAGAAACCCAAGGGGAGATGATCACAAGGACATGTCCCAGGTCACAAAACTACACGGAACGGGGTGGGGAAAAGGGGACTAGGAAACAGTTAGGAAGGTTTCTCAACATTTTTTTTTTTTTGCTTTTTGCTTTTACTACCTAAACTGCCTCTTACAAGCGCCAGGAATCTTGGCCAGGCTATGAGGCAGAGCGGGCTGAGCTGTTCTCTCTGTTATCTAAGGAGACAGGAGGAGGGTTAGGAAAAGCCACATGCACCACAGCCATTTACCTTGGAAATATTAGTAAAGAGAAAACTTTGAGAAAGTGACAAACGGGTCGTCTTTAAGCATGAAAAGTGAAGGGGAGAAGAAGGGAGGGGATCAGGTCGTTGTTAAAAAGTGCACTTTGGATCACAAACCAAGCAAAAAGGAAAAGAAATCATCACGCCAGGTAATCCCGCGACCCCAAACTGGCTCGATCCCACAGTCAGGAGGACTCTGAGCTACACAGCCATGTCCCCAGCCTCTCCAGGTGTCCCCTGCTCCTCCTGGATGGGGGTCAAGACCCCAACAGTGAGGGCTGATGCAACAAAGCGCCCACTGCCAACCAAGTCCCATGGTGCAAATTGGGAAGGAGGTACCTTCCACCTCCCCTGACCCCATATGGGTTGTGGTGGGACACAGTGAGGACCGGACGCATGCACGTATGAGGCAACAGCCTCCAAGAGAGCTACTAACACCAGATCTTTGGTTTGGGGAGTCTTCTTCACTCCCTCAAAAGCAGCCTTTAAGTCCCACGCTAGTAGGTGGAGGCAGGCTCCCAGCAGCTGGAGATTTTAAACATGCTGCTGCCAGCCTACAGCTGGGATGGGTACCATCACTGTCTGCTCCAGCAGAGCTCCTGGTCTAGCAAAACCTGATGCAGCCATCTCCCCAACTCAACATTGGAGCGTGCTTTCAGTATCCCAGCCAGCACTGAGGCATGCAGTGCTTTTCATTACAACATGGATGGGGAAAAAGGTGGATGGAGGGATGGACAAAGAAACAAAAATGCTTTCAAAGCAACCCAAGACGACCAGGCACTTCATCAGGGGCTTTTTGTGCCCATGAGCAGCATGGGAAGGAGCACAGACATGCAGGCCATGCTGAGCAACTCAATCTCTACATTCGCCCAGGAGCATGAGCGTGATTGATCTTCCCCAACCCATCCACCAGCAAAGCCAAGTGTGACCTTCCTAACTTCCCTTTTCTAAAAAAGGTTTACTCTAAAAGGGGAAGAAACGTGAGGTTCACCAGCTGTTACGTGCAAGCAGGGCTGAGGCCTGGCCATGTTATAGCAGATTCCTCCATCTTCAGCCCACAAAATGAACCAGGACAGGGATGCACGTAGGCTGATTCAAACTGGTCTACAGGGGGCAAAAAGACCCCTGGGCACTACCCCAGCCTCAGCTCAGCCCCAAACTCTCCCTGGTCTTTGAGAAGACATTTGAGCACAGCTTCTGACAACTGCTGCTCTCAGCTCAATGATGTTACCATGAATTAAGTCCAAAGGCTTCAAATTTATCCAGAAGCTGTCCCGTCCCTATTACACAAGGATCTAACAGCACTGAGCCAAACTGTCGAAGCCTTGATTATTCATAATTAGTGCATTAAATGTTCAAGGCATCTTGGCTTTCTTAGTAGAGCTAGAGGACCATATCCTTGCATCTACTCTGCCCAAGACATCTAGGCAGACTGTTCCCAAAATCCAGGTTTGCAGAACTGCAGATGCCAGGACCCAGGATCAGTCCAGCTCCAGAAAACACACTCCTGCTCCCATGCAGGCTATAAAACCCTGCTTGGGGCTGAGGTCAGAACCTTCTCAGAGATCAGTCTGGTGCCATCACTCATAGACACAACTCGGAGCCCCTGGGAAGGACAGACCACGCGGGTCTATCACCTACAGTACAACGTGCTATCACAGAGGAGATAACCCCAGGAAAATTCAACATCATCTCCCATCCCATGACTGTCCAAGGAGGAGGCAGGGAATTTAGACATCATCAATAGAGGGAAAGTGATAATTTGCTTCATTTCGCAACAAAATTGGGACATTTAATCAAGCTAGGATACTTAGAGGTTGGACAAAGCAGCACCCATACTCTCCTCTTTACCTTTCCTAAGACGCATCCAAATCCCCCACACACAGAGAAATATGAACTCCAAGAAGTCCACGCCCCAGCCGGGTTTCACAGCAACAACAAAACAACCAGTGGGATGGCAAAAGACATGGAAAGGGGGCGAAAGGGGGAATAAGACGCAAGAAGGTACTTACAGGCATGCCTTCCCTAGTAAAGGCTGCAGAGAGACAGAGAGAATGGAAAGAGGTGTCAGTAACGCCGCGCGAGACCGGGCAGAGGACACCGGACAGCAGCGAGGGGCACCTGAACAGCGAGAGCTTCCAAACCTGAAGCCGTCGGAGGGTTTGTTGCAAGACTCAACCAGCCCAAGCAGAGCCCCGAAAGCCGAGGGACAGACCGAGTTGCCCTGCTCGGTGCTTGCCGGGGTGGGAAGGCTCACGTGAAGCGGCCACCAAGCAGAGCAGTTGGAGGAGCACGGCACCCTTCCTAACCTGCCCGGGAACTGGCCGAGGAGGGGCGAGAGGACACCGGACAACACAGACAACGCAAAGAGGGGCTGGGTGAGACAGCGAGATCCAACAAGCAGCTGGTGGGAAGGGCAGCATGGCAAAGGGGCTCCTATGCTGCTTCTCTGGTACCACCCCAGCTCCTTAACGAGCACAGAGAGGGGGGTTTTGTTCCTGGAGAAGCGTGCAGCAAGGTCTCTCCTTCTACATCCCTTCACGGGTGGGTGAAAGAGGAGAGGACACATGAGCATCACGGCAGCTACCCACAGGGTTTCACCCAGGGCTGCAGAAGGCAACCAGGTTCACCATGCCAAGAGGCTTCTACTCATTTTTCGTCCGTTTTGCCTATTGCTCCGGGAAGGAGGAGACCCCTCAAGTCAAAGATGGGTCCTGGCAGCTCCTTCTCGAGGGAAGCGCAAGAATATTTGCTTTATTGCAATGCCCAGGTCTACACCAGAGCTGAGCGCATCCGGGGGAAGGCACGAGCCCTTCAGTCCTGTCCACTCTTAGGGATGCGGCTCCCCAGGGGTGTGACACCATGATGCCAGATGGTGAAGGCACTAAATTAACGCAGCTAGAGCTTTGGAGGGTTTACAGCGCTCTCAAAACCCAAGAGAGGATCAACAGCGACCCTTCGCCGGGTGCTCCCGAAACCAACCCAAGGCAGGGAGGGACAGCAGCCACGGGAGAAAGATGTATCTCAGAGACAGCAGCACAGGTTGCAACAAATGCAAGCCGTTCCCCAGCTTCAGGAGCGACAGGAGGAGGACAACAAACAATAAAACAACGAGAATAACAACAACAGAAAAAAAAAGAAAAGAAAAGGAAAAAAAAAAAAAAAAAAAAAAAAAAAAGAGTAGAACTAACTTGTCCCGGCAGCTGCGTGGGCACCTCCTGAGGAACACAGCCTGGCAGGGCGGAAGAAACAGCCACATGCTCCTCAAAGCTGTTGATGCGAGGTTTTTTGGTGGGCTCTGGGCTTGCTAGAGGGGTAACGCTATTACGTCTCATGAGCGGGTTAGGTCCCTTCTTTGCTTCCTAAATTAGAGTGAGACAAAGAAAAAAAAAAAAAAGGTAAATAAAAAAATAAAACAAAATAAAAAAAAGGGAAGAAGGCGACAGTTATAAAGGAAAAAAAAAAGAAGCAGGTTGTTTTGATTTTTTGGGTTTGGTTGGGTTTTTTTTTTTCTTCTCTTAAAGCGGCCTCTGCTTTTCCCCCCCACAATCGCTGTCGACATGCAAAGGATGCACTGAAAGGTCTGGACACAGAAAAAGAAACCCTAACGCAAAATGTTCACGAACGCAATGTCATTTCCCAAAAAGGGGAGGGGAAAAAAACAAACCAAAAAGGCCCTGCACTCAGAAACGAGACAGACTTTCGCCTCACCTGAGCCTCTGCTCACAAAAAAGTAAATATAGATGGCTAAAAAACACCTAGCGGTAATCAAAAGCCATGACTTCGCACGACAGAAAGAGGCACCCATCGGTCTCCTCCTCAAAGCCGGTCCCTCCAGCCCAGGGAGGGGTGTGAAAGCAAGAGGGAAGATGAGCCAGCCCGGGCCGATAAGGAAGATCTGGGAAGTGGGGGCAGAGCAGCCAGCGAGGGTCGGCACCGCGCCAAGCTCCAACTCAAGCGAGGTGGGACGGAGGGGCAGCGCCCGCGCAGCCGAGCGGAGGGACCCAAGCGCTTCACACGCGTCTTGCTCTATATCCCACCCGCAGCCCACGGCTCTCCTGCCATCCCCAGCAAGGGTGGTGGAGGAAGGCATCGATGGCCCCCACAGCAGGGGGAAGTACCGGCTTCCCCACCTACAGCCGTGGGGAGGGAAAGGCAGCTCAGATGCTGCCACCCGTTGAGGTTGGGAAGCAAAGGAAGGGAGACGTGGGCCAAAAGGGGACGGCTCTGGTCATCCAACATCCAGCCAGGCTCCATCGCCACTACACACAAGTTGGAAAGGCCCCAGCGGCTGGGACACGGGCACTGCCAGGGTCCCTGGGGTCCGCCTTGGGTGGCCGCCCAGCCCCAACACCGAGCTGGCATCCCCCTGCTCTGGCCTCCGAGCTCCCGGTGGAGCATGGGGCAGACAGACCTGACCTTACAGGGCTTTTCCTCCATGCGAGGAGTCTCCTCCCCGCAGCATCCCCAGCCCAGCGCCGCCACCTCCCACCCTAGAGAATGGCACTCTGGTAGAATGTGCTGGTTTTGGCTGGGGTAGAGTTAATTTTCTTCACAGCAGCTGGTATGGGGCTGGGTTTGGGATTTGTGCTGGAAACAGGGTTGATAACACAGGGATGTTTTCGTTACTGCTGAGCAGTGCTGACACACAGTCAAGGCCTTTTCTGCTCCTCACCCCACCCCACCAGTGAGCAGGCTGGGGGGGCACAAGAAGTTGGGAGGGGACACGGCCGGGACAGCTGACCCCAACTGACCCAAGGGATATCCCACACCATATGACGTCATGCTCAGCATATAAAGCTGGGGGAAGAAGAAGGAAAGGGGGGACATTCGGAGTGATGGCGTTTGTCTTCCCAAGTAACCGTTACGCGTGATGGAGCCCTGCTGTCCTGGGGATGGCTGAACACCTGCCTGCCCATGGGAAGGACGGAATGAATTCCTCATTTTGCTTCACTTGCGTGCGCGGCTTTTGCTTTACCTATTAAACTGTCTTTATCTCAACCCACAAGTTTTCTCACTTCTACTCTTCCATCGGGGGGAAGAGAGTGAGCGGCTGCGTGGGGCTTAGTTGCCGGCTGGGGTTAAACCACAACACAGCCACATGGAGCCGTGGGCACGCCAAGAAAAAACAAAGGCAGGAAATGTTGGGCAAGGCGTTGAGCCTGGGCTTTGCCAGCCACTTGGGAGACCTGGGAGAAGTCACCTTCTCCGTCCATGGCTCCATTCCCCGCTCGGGTGAGCGGAGGACTGGACAGGTGAAAGTTAAAGACCAGGGAGAAGCTTTCCCTGGGCCAGCTTTAATCTGGGCAAACACAGTGGGAAGCAGGCACATTCAACAGTCCTTTTCCCTTGGAAAACCCTTGACCGGCCACGTCTTTGCAGAGCAAGAACGCATCTGATGCTCCAGTCCTCCAGCAGCACCCTAAGCATCTAGCTGAGCAATCCCCCCATGGCCAACCCGGGCATCCTTGCTGCCAGCTGACCGTAGGGGAAAGGAGAGGGACACCAAAGGATGGCTCTGAGGAAAAGCAACACTCACCTCTGGCCGTTCCCTGTGGGTGTTGACGGCTTCGATGTTCAGCGAGATGGACTCCACCCGGCAGCCTGCAGAAGGGAGCACAAGGAGACAGAGAGGCCATCAGCAAACCCAACGGGCACAGGATGCTACAAAGTGCTCCACCCCAGAGGCAGCTTGGATTCAGGAGGAGGTACAAGTCGAACCCCTTGGCATGTTTAGTAGAAAGGCCCCACTTACCATAGGCCACCGGGGTCAGCTTCAACACTGTGTGAAGGGGACATTTCAGGTAGGGCATTTCATCTGCAGAGAAAGCAAAGCAGGAGGGTTATCCCATCCCCTCTCCAAAAGCAGGTTTAGACATCTTCATCAACAGCTAAGGCCATCCCACACCAGAGAGATGCATGCTCCAGGCCCTGCGTGGACCTGAACACATCTCTCATCTCCTCAGAGCTCCGTCTATCATCCCTCCTCCAGCAGGATCGATCCTCTTCCCAGGGACAGGGAGCTCACCTGCACACTTGTCCAGAAAGTATGCCAGGAGACAGCGCATGACAGCCTGGTGACAGATCACAAGGACGTTCTCTTGTCTCTCCAGCTCCATGATGACCGGCTCTAGGCGCTGCACCAGATCTTGGTAGGACTGAGACAGAAGAAGAGAAGGGAGATACGGCATAGAATCAAGAAAACGAGCACCTCACAAGAAACAATGGTCCTTGTCTTGGTACATCTATGGATTTCATGCCTCTAACTAAACCATCGTAACTACTGCTAAAAAACAAGAAAAGTTCAACAAATCCTCATCTAGTCTACTCTAGAACATAGCTACTTCTTCCGGTCAGAGGAGGAAGAAGCCATTCACATCTCAGTTACAGTCCTGGAAAGTTTATGAAGGCAAGCAACAATTGCAGAGGGGCTTTGAGCATAATCTCTCTATATCATCTTGAAATTTGATTTTCTACAGGATTTCTAAGTTCTGAAATGTCTGGAGCAACCTGAAAATCTCCAGGGTTTTGAAGGACTTCATAAAGAACCATGACAGCCAGCCAGAAGGAACCCCAGACACACAGAGTCAGTGTCAGACATCCCCAAACATTCTCCTGTTAGACACGCTCTCATAAGGATGTCTCCAAAGATTTCTTCCTAAATGTCTACGGACGTGACTTTTAATTTGGGGATAAAAAGCCCAGTTCACAACCTAAAGTATCATCCAGAACTGATGTCAATTCCCACCTCATTGTGTCACACCCTGAAAGCAGATTGCCAGGAACAGAGATATCAACATCAACCCTTAGGGAACGATACCGAGAGCAGGGGTAGAAATTACTTCTTTGGAAATGAAAGAAAAGGAAATTGGGGCAGCACAACAGTTTGCATGGATGTAACGGAGGAGGTTGGACTAGAAACCTCCAGAGCCCCCTTCCTACTAGTTTGCTATAAAGTCAGTGGGACTGTTTGTTAAGTGCTACATTTCTTAATGCGATCTTCTCGTACCACGATTTCACAAGAGCTCAATGCAAAAGGTAAATATGAGCCCTGACCTGTCTTGATTCTAGTTTCTTGGAGCACTTGCTGCCTCCCTGCTCCGAGCGTAGAGGACAGCATGAAGACAAGAAGGCCATGTTTAAAGTAAGAGTCACATCTCTGAAGGTCTCCTTGCAGACCTACCTCCCCAGAAGGATAGCGGTAGTAATATTTATCCTGATCACGTAAAGCAAATTCCTCTGGATGCTGCTCCCTGATTTCTTCATACGTCATTTCTTCACACACACCCTGCCAGAACAGGACATCCATGAGGTCACTGGACATGCTCAAGTCAAAAAGCATCAGCACACCCAACATGCAAAGCCTTCTCCGAAGCAATTGTCTATAACCCTCTGAGTGGTCAGCTACGGAGCAGCTCCAAGCAAAAGTCATTTTAATCTGCTCATTCGAGCCAATATCTTGAAGCATCTGCACAGGATAGAGCCAAGATCAGAAGCCAAGTTGTGAGTATTGCAGCAGAAGTACCACCCTTTCCCACGGAAGGAAAGTCTCCCCACAAAAGGCGAGATTTAGGCAAAAGTGAAGAGACCGGTGCTATCACCCTCTCCGCCAAGCAGCAACCAGCATGATCCAGCTATTCCTACTGCAATCAAAGATACTTACAGCATCGATTTCATTGAGTGCCTTCCACTGCTCGTAGGGCAGTTGGAGAGCTTCTGCCGTTTGGATTGTCCTCTTTAGTTGGCTGGTCCAGACTTTGAGGTCCTTCAGGTTCTGCTCCTCAACAAACTTGTTCAGTGCCAGTGCAAACTGTGGGACATAAAAGAGGTTGATTCCTGATCCACAGCTTCCCAATGGGCCTTCTTCCCTGCTTCCCAGTAAATGCCTTCTCCAGGACCTCTTTTGCCTTCCATAGGCAGACGTCTTAGCCTTCTGCTCTGAGGTGAAGAGCAGCCACACATGCATTGATCCCCAAAAGCTATGAGGGGTATGAGGACAGAGAGAAAGCAGAGGAGGAAGCGGCAACCTAACGTCATCAAAGAACAACATCAGCATCCAAGAAACAGCACCACAACCTGGGCTCTCCTACAATGCAATGGAAGATCCCTGGCCACCCTTAACCACAGCTCTGCTTATTTGTCATAGAGCTAAATCGATGTATCCTGTAGTCCTTGACAATAGTCACACCTCACATGACTCCATTTGGACTTCAAAATGGTCTGGGCAAGCCAAAATAGCTTAACCCTCCCTGAAGCAGTGCGCTTGACCATGTCTTTGAAGAATCAAGTAGTGAGCAATCTGAAAGCACCCTTGGAGTTGGCTATCCCTACCGAAGGGTGGCAGCAGTCCTTCTACATCCCGCCCTGCCTGTGCAGGGTCTGAACCAACTCAATGAAGATACTCATACCCTTCTCTCCTAGAGATTTCTGCAGCCCGACCTCTGCTAACCCCTAACTACATGCAAGCCTACATGTAACGTTGATGGCTGGAAAGTCTTGTTTTGAGGCCATGCCCGAGCCCAAATTTAACCAGCCCTATAGATGGTTCCTCTGAGCACCCCAGCCGTCATCAAATATACACTTAACCCAATGCATGGCATCTGCTACGGCCAAATCACTCCTAGAAGCCATAAGGGAACGTTCCCTTCTCCCTCACCTTCTTGCCCCTGTTGGAGAGGCCCGAGTCGCCTCCAATCTTCCCCTTGAGGTTGAACTCGCTCTCGCCGTGCCGACAGAGATAGATGGTGCGGGGCTGGACATGGATGTTCATCAGGTAGTAAACGATCCTGCTCTGGATGTGATCCTGAACCCTGTTGACCAGGAACCGCCGGCCAACATCGATGACTTTGATGAGAGAAAGCTCCCTAGGAAAAGCAAGGATGAGGGGGTTGCCAGTGGGGAAAGCAGAAAGAAAGAAGCACCATCCTTGAAAAAACAGCCTTGTGAGGTATCTCAGTCAACATAATCACCCAGCTAAAAGGATTTCCTGCAGGCTATTTTCAACAGGAAGCCAACAGGTAACGGCGATTGATGGAGAGCTAACTAACACCAGTGTAATCGCCATTCCTCGTCACAGCCGTAAAGAGGATTAAACAGGACTAGCAGGGAGCATGTTCCTCCCTAGGACAGGGCTCAGCAGGACCAGGATTATCCACGCAGAGCACAGACGTTATTTGTGAGCACTGGAAAGGCTGGGAGGTGCCTGCATGGTCATGCAGGACAGCAAAGGTCTTCCCATGGCACACAACTAGGCAGAAACCACAGGGCTTGCTCAACCTTGTAGTTTGAGCCTGTTCAAGCATTCCCTTCCTTTAATTGACAAAAGCATCTCAGAAACACTCAAACAGAACTGCTTTTCCAAAACCTTTGTATTTAGACCTGCAGAACCAGCGTATCTGAGCCCAGAAGAGCCTGGGAAGGTTTCAGTGCCCGGCTCCCTGGCACAAGGCTGGGGAAAACCAGCATTTTCAAGGAAAAAGCCGAATTCACAATGAGGCTTGGTCATATGTTATTCTAGCACAGTCACGTCTTTGAAGAAAAAGTGAAATACAGCTCCATACTCCTCTCCTGGGAGAAGGCAGGCATTCAAGCCAGTTCAAAAGTCAGCACAGTCTCTTACCGGTCATAGTCATCAGGGTCGAGTGGCTGGTAGCTGGCCTGGTAACAATTGATCCTCTTCATGAAGTCCTCCATGGCATCGGTCGAATTACAGTCCCGGTAATCAGGGCTTGACAATTTTACTTCCTGTGGCAAGGGAAAAAATGAAAACACACCGCAAGGAGAGGTTAGGAAGCTTTCCAAGCCAGACCATACTAATCTCAAATTTCAAAGTTCTGTCAAGATCCAGCTATTGGCTGAGCCAGTTTACAGCCATCGCTTATGAGAAGACAGAAAAGAAGTAAACTAGACCCAAAACTAAGCACAAGGTGAGAAAATCTGGTATAAACCATTGCACGACCAGTACAGATGCGTATCAGTCTGCTCCCGTTCTCCCAAGAGTTGGGGCAACACGTCACCATCCAACACAGTGGGAAAACTGAGCTTTTTTATGGCTAAAGAAAAGCATCAGGTTTAAACAGTTCAAGCTGAGGATGGAAAGTGCATAACCTTAGGCAAGATGCTTGTCCCAGGCCTTTTGAGTGAATAAAGCTCCCAGGAGGTTGAGATCAACCTGGCTGTCCACCATCTGAGGTAGCAGGATAACAACATTCAACCCCTTTCTGTGCAGCGTTTGCTACGAGCTACTGGGCTGAAAGAGGCTAGAAACGGGCAACGTTCATGAGAGCTCCGGATATTCACTATTCTAACAGGCTATTTTTCCTGAAGATTTGTGTTTGAGCAGCAGCATTACACATTAGTAACTTCACATGCAATCCTGAAACCAACAGGATAACACAACCAAGCGACACGCATGGCAGCGCCCCAGGCCCGCAGCGTATTTTCCGCACTGATCCCAGCACTAAGAGCACCATTCATCTGCAGCACCCCGTGGAGCAAAAACCTACGCTCAGCTAGTAGTTCATTTTCTCCCCCTTCAAGCATTAGTTTCCAGAGAAAGGGATTAAATCCTCCAAAAAAAAAAATCTAGCTTCACGGTATTGCAAAGAGGAAAAAGAAAGAAAAAAAAAAAGAGCAAACTGAGCATTTTATTAGCATCATGGAAAAGGCTGCATACAACCTCCCAAAAAGCTGATCGCTGGCCATGGGACACCAGCTCCCAGCAGGAGCAAAAGCCACGCTTGCTCTAGCCCCCCCCATAACACCCTTTGTGGAGCCCATCCCGGGGGCAGAACAAAACCCAACAAAACCCTTCTCACAGACTTCGGGTATCCTGCAATGCATTCCCAGACACCACAAAATGGCTCGCAAAGTTCAGAAGTACAACTGGAGATAAGGCTGGAGCAGAGCCCAGTGGAGGAAAGGACACTTTCATTCAAGTTAATCATGCCCAGGTAGACCGAGTAACATCTACCTGCCCTAGCTGAGCCTAACAGGTAAAGGAGCTCTTCTGCTGGTGGGAAATCAAAGATACAGCAGCTCCCAAAGGAGTCGAGAAGCAACGTTTTATGCTGCTCTCCCAGCCAAGACTTCAGCTAGTGGCAAGAAACCTCTAAGCTGAGCTACTGTTCTTCTCAAAGCAGACCGCAACAGATTTTGGGAAGCTGCATGTGGCTGAAGACACCAAGTCTGACTGCTCTCTGACGGGATTTAAACCTTTAACTGCATCCATCGCTTCCAAAAAGTGGGACTTTGGGGGGGTCACCAAAGCATCCTGTCCTTAATATCAAGTTACAGATCAGCAGATATGCAGAGAGCATAGAAGGGAGCTGGGGAAAGGCTACAACAACTTTTATCTTCATTACTTCCAGGTGGCCCTGGTTCCTGGGAGATAAAAGCTCCTTTCTCACCCCAGGACAAATACATCATAAAAAGATAAACCTCCTAATCCTCAACCAACTCTGGCAAGACCAAGAAACCAGCTGGGCGCAGGTGGAAAATCCTACACGAGGGAAAACAAAAGCAAGATGTTTCCACGCTTACCATAACGTTGGTGGCAACTACCGTGGGATCATTGCAGACAGATTCAATGAAGAACACCTGCAAAGCAAAACAAAGCTCACCTGAAGGCCAGCAATAAGGTTTTAGCTCCTTGCTAAACCCAGCCTCCTCCATCCTTAACCAGAGAGCTCTCCCTCTGCCCCGCTCCCATCCTCTCCTTCTCCAGGATTCGGGATTGGGAACGAGGGAAGAGTTTCACATTTTTAACCAAACCCAGCAGTGAATCTCCCTTACACAGGAGCGTCGTGAGGACAACACGTTAGTGAAAGAAGATACACCAACAACACACTATCGTGGACTATGCAATACAGGCAGCAGCCCAATGGTACCAACCTTGAACCCATTTTCTTTGGCAAAGTTTAGGATCATCCCTCTCCTCTCCCGCGTGGTATTGGTGGCATCAAAAACCTTTAAAAGCAAAGATTTCAATTAGCACCAAGAGCGTCTGGTTTCCACCCGAGCCATTCCTCAGAGAAGGAACTGCAGAGCGAACTGCACAGGGCACAGCGCCTTCACACCAGGACTGCTGCCAAACCCCACGGAGCACGTCTCTGAGCTTACCGCAATCTGGCCAGCCTCCTCCGTCAGGTACAGCTTGACGTCCCTCAAGGCAGCCAGGGCACATTGCCTGCAAAAGAGGCGAGAGACGCGTGGTCCTGATGTCCTCAGAGATGCTTGCAGCAGCCAGCACACAGAACCCCGCAAAGGAGGGCAGGCTTTGCAGCTCCTCCTTGCCACCTCTCCCCTTCTCCCAGGGACATTTAGGAAAGACACCCTCAGCCTGCTAAAAATACAAGAGCTATGCGTGCCGAGCGGCACGCTGGTCTTCACGGCAGAGGCAATGGTAGATGAAGAAGCAAAGGCCAAACCTCATGGCAGACCTCATACCCTACATCGCTGAGCCTGAAGGTGAATTTAGGGTACCACTGATGGAGGATGCGTCAGTGACCCTGAAGCCACCAAGCCCTGACAACTTCAGTTTTCAGCTCCTGGCGCCCAAGTCAGGCCCTCCTTAAGCAGGCAAGGAGATCTCGAGCTAGAGCCCAGCTTTTCTGTCCCTCGCCCCCTAAAACAAGCTGGGCAACCCCGCTGCCGGGCCGTGGGCTTCACCACTCATTTGGGACCTGGGTACAAGCACAGACGCAGCGCCCACACTTACCTCCTGACTTTCATGGCTTCCTCATTGTCGGGGCGGAAGAAGTCATAGGAGCTGTAATGCTTCACTGCCTCGCGGCGATACTCCCCTACGTTGAAAACTGCGTGGGAAAGGCAAAGACCATCAAAACCAGGAGCGGGCGTCAGCGCAGCTTGACTCAGCTGTGCAGCTCCTGCAGATTAACACTTTCTAGCAATGGGCCAAGAAGTGACATCCTTAGAGCAAAAGGCTCAGAGGCATCCCTTGGTCTTCAAAGCGAAGGAGAACCTGGGCTGCGATGGGAGGACATGGAGATTTGGCCCATGGGATCTCGGAAAGATCCCCCACCACCTTCCACTCCCCAAGGGACTAAGCTCCTTGAGCATCTCCCAAGGATCCAGACTTCATGCTTTTCCCAGGCAGCCGGCAAAAGCCTCACCTTTCGTTGGGACACCGATCCAGTTGAGGTAGCGAGTCAGCTTCTTGGAGATGTAGGTCTTCCCACGGGCTGGGAGGCCCACCATCACTATCACAGTGGGGGAATTGGCAAGCTGCGGCCCACAGGCTACAAGGAGGAAGAGAAAGCACAACATGAGCAGCCGTTAATCCTCCAGCTCATCTTGTATCAACCCTACAAGGCACTTGCTCTTGACTCAACTTTCCCCCAAGTCCTTCAGCAGCTAGAGGAAAGCCAGAGCCTCCGCTCCCCGCGCACCACCATCTCTGCAGTATCTCCTGTGCATCCCTCTCATGAGCCTGGACATCCAATACCTTGAGCAGGCGAATCCACTGATTCATTTTTGCAATGGGATCTGCTGAATGAGCACATGTCAGAGCAGGGGGCATGGCAGACGGCTCTGCAGCTGACCACCGGTGAGACGCAACTGTCCCAGCTAAGCCATGCCGACCCAAACGCGTCCCGGTGCCACCCAGACCTGGGGGTGGGAGTCACAACCTGCCAGCCAAGGCAAGAGGGGAACATCCTGATGGCTGCAAAGCGGGCAAGGAACCAGCAGCTGCCCCAGGCTCCCTGCAGGACCTCTGTGCCTCAGTTTCCCCATTTGCAAAAAAAACCAAAAAAAAAACAAAAAAACAACACCCAAGGCAAACACAACCTCCCATTCCCGCGGTTTAGCCGGTTCTGTGAAAAGCTACAGGATGGCCAAGGACTTTGGTCCAGTCCTCACAGCAGCGCACTTCAGATATGGCTGCTGTGCTGAAATACCAGGTCTGCACCATACCAGGTCACCCACCTTCCAAAAACTTCTGCTAGCTTTTTAGCTGATACACATGCAAACGCAACTAACTAACTGTTTTTTCTGAAGACAAGCAGGGCCCGAGGACTGCAGAACCACTGGCATTTAAAAGCACGTACATGAGTGACTTATCCCTTTTTCCTCATAAACCTATTTTAAGCTGGGGGGGGGGTGTTGTTGTAAAGAGGGCCCACGTCAAACAGCTGGAAATAAATCCAGAGGCATTACTTAGTGATGTCTTGGCAAGTGAAGAGAAACTCCTCTCCAATTCACCCGAATAGCATGGCCAAAACGCAGACAAATCAGCTGCCCGGCTGCCCAGGTGAATCGCTTCTCCCCCCATAAATCCTTTAGAAAGTAAATTCCTGGTTCAGTTTGGAAGAAATTGCTGAGGTTGCAGGACTGGGAATGCAGTTTGGGAATTTTTTTACTCCTCCACAGCCTGGTCCCAGCGCCACGGGATGCGTCTGGACTACCTGGACCACACACCCCGTGGACCACGTAACATGGCAGCATCCCTCTCCCACGTCTCACCCCTGCTCCTCTCCAGGGTTTGCCCTGCAGAAGTACTTCTCACATGGTGCTGCACACATGAAAGGCCGCGGCGCAAAGCCAAGCACTGCAAATACGGGAAAGGAAGATCTTAACGATGCCTAATGGAATTTGGATTAGCCAGCTGCCTTTCATGCCGCCCTTGTCATGCCGCCTTCATGTCATCTTGGCGTGACACGCCAGGAGCCCTCCCAGCGAAGGCAGAGACCAGCCCCAATAGGCGAGACCCTCCGGGGGATTTCTCACCCAATCCATCCGGCAAGCCCGGAGACCTCACGGCAAAGGAATGCAGGGAGTGAGTGGCTGGTGGCAGAGCCATAAAAATGCAGCTTAATTACGGTCTGGGCGGAGAGCTCTGCCTGCCCATCCCAGCTGCCCGCAGGTGGGACCAGGCGACAGCGGCAGAGCGATTTGGGGATGCGAGGGGCTCCCCAGGGATGGGGACGGGGTGGTGGCTTGGGGTAGATTTTTCTCAGCGGAGATCTGGGAAGGGCAAACAAACCGAGAGGCATCCAGAGAGCGTGCAAAGCATACGGGATTTCCCTCCCCTTCTAATAAAAAAAAAAATAAAATAAATCCAACAGCTAAAGAAACTGAATTAAGGCCGCAAGGAAGAGTTACAGCACTGGTGCCCAGAAGGGCAGAGAAGAGCCACTCATCATCTGCTTGGCCGTCTCACCAAGGCAGACTCAGCAGGCAAGAGATGAGAAAACTATCTAAAAGAGATTGTCTTTTTTTTTTTCCTAAATATTCCACATTCCTCAGGCTGGAGCTGCCCTCACACTTGCTCCCTTTGCGCGACCTGCACCCGTGGTGCTGCGTTTCAAAAGCCGGGGCCAGCTCCCAGCGACTTCAGCAGCAAGCGCTGATTTTGCGTGCTGGGGTACCAAGGCGGCTGTGCAACGTATCCAGAAAAAAAAAAAAAGAAAAAAAAATATATTTTTCCTCTCCATCAGTCTCACATCCTCAACCAACCTATGGGTGCAAGTCTTTTTTTTTTTTTTTGCACAAAAAACAACCACATATTACATAAAGGGGGGGGGAAGGAATAACACCTGAATAAAGAAACTCCTCCTTTCCCTACCTGCCAGCAGACAAAGGATCTCAAAAGAGCCGAGCCAAGAGAATTTGGGGCCATTAAAGTAACGGCACTCCGAGAGGACGGGGACAATGCCGGGTACTGTTCATGCCCCTTTGGCTCCAGACAGCTGAGACGGTCCCAGAGCTGACGCTGCGTGGGCGCACACATGACACCTCCAAAGGGTGCTGCAGGAGTTAAATACCTGTATTTGAGGAATTGCTCCCCGATTCGGTTTGCTGCCAAAGGAAAGATCCAGGTTCCCCTTGCACCGGGAAAAAGCATCTGTTTACGGACCTGGGAAGCACCTCCCAAAACACCAGGGCATGGAGACGTGCAACTTTTTATCAGGAACCTGAGCCCAAACCCAGCTAAATCACAAAAGCCTCCAGGAAACTTTGCATCAGGGATGTAACAGAAACCAGTGTTTTGCTCCCGGTGCTTCACAAAGACCTCATTCATCATTTCTTTTCACCACTGCTGGAAAGCTATCAGGGATTTCAATGCATATTCATTACTGGTTGTCGACATCTATCCCGGTAAGTCAAGGTCAGGGATGACTTTCGAAAGGCTCAATCAGGATATTTAGAAGTAGCTCGTCACTTGTGCCTTCTATCTGCTAGAAAGCCAGCGTCGGTGCATTCTCGCGCTTCACCGGAGTGGGTGGAAGGGGGGAAAAAAAAAAAAGGGGGAAGGAAATTTGCTTCTATAAAAGGCTAGATAAAGCAGCCACCTCCCCATTTCAGGCATTTTTACCGTCTCCTCGTAAGAAGCGTTCCCACACACCTCCCGCCCCCGAAGCCCACGCCACATGTTCTACGTTAGTCTTACATTCCCCTTTTCCAGCTTCTTTCCCATTGCAATTCCCTGACACCCTCGCGGATGCACCGAGAACACGTTTCTGCGCTGCGCGTCGCGCACAGGCGTGTGGAACTGCTACCGCCCCGCCGACGTGCGAGCTGTGGTTTTGCATGCACATCGCCGACGTATTTTCACGTGCCCTCATCTGCCGAGCCGGAGCGATGGGAGAGAGAAAGGCGGCAGCAGCCCCTTTCCTCCTGGAGCATCCCCCACCCGAGCCCCCTCCCCTCGCCTGGCTCTGCCCATCCAGCCGCCTGCGACGACTTGACTTTCCCAGCCCCTACGTGAGAGACGTGCAGCTTGACAGCAATTTAATGGATCGCCGTCAAAAGGCCAGATGAAGGCATCACTTCGCATCCATTCGAGCCTCCCGTCGACGAGGGAGCGGACAATCGGACTAATTATTTCACACGCAGGGAGCAGCCAGGCTGGAGCTTTTTCGAGGATGCTCCCGCTCCCTCCTCCCCCCGGGGACGGCATCGGCCTCGCGTCTCTGTCATACCTCCATTCCCACCCGGCTTTGTGGCTCTGCTCTTTGTTGCTGCCGAGGAATTAATAGCGCCTCGAGTTTAAAATAGCCACCTCGAGTTTAAAAAAAAAAACAAACAAACCCTAAAAAAGCCTGATAATGCTCTTCCCATAGAGCGCAGTGAACGGTGCCTGGCATGGCTTGTTCCCACCCCGAGAGAAAATAATTAGAGGCCACGTTATGGTATTAATGAGCCCCTTGGTGACTTAATATATTAAAGTACGTTAGTTTTCTGCTCTGCCAAGGAGGGAATTCTCTCCTCTGAGAAACCAGGTGAATAAAGCGGCAAAACACACCGGGAGGCTCCGCGTACACGAGGGATTTCTTTCAAAGGTTGTCAGTCCTTGAGGACAATCAAACCAAACAGATACATCTGCAAAGCATTAAGCCAGGAGACATTTTACCCAGCTAAAAGCAAAGCCCCGTGGCAACCCAGATGTTCAGCCTGTTGCTGAAAGCCATTTCCTCAGCAGCTTCTGCTGCAGAGCTGCCCTGGCCAAGCCCAGGCTGCCCGCGCGGACATCTGCTATAGGGCTCAGCCGTCCCTCGCTGCGTGCCTGACCCATAGCCATGGGGCAACAACATGTGGCAAATTCAGATTTTTTTTTTTCCCCCCCAATTATTATTATTTTTTAAAAGGGGGAACTTTCCGGCCAAGGGAAAGAGATGTCCGAAGCGACGAAAAACGCCTGCTCAAGGAAAACATCGGAGAGACTGATTCACCCAACTGCCCAAGCCACTTCCATCCTTTGCCAGGCTGCAAAGTGCCACCTCCTCCGTCCTGGCTCTCCGCAGCCCCGGATCTGTGGATTCCTGCGACGCTTGTTTAGAGTTATGGGGAGTTGCACAACTGGCAGGTTGTCAGTTTAGCTGTTGGGCGAGTTAAAAGAGCTGCCTCTCGAGCTTTAGTATTGTGTTATGATTCATGATTTGTTTTATAGTAACACCGGGATGACCCAAGCGTTTGCTTTTATTATTTAAGCGCGGAGGTTGGTTTTAAAACACTCAAGATGCTTTCCCGAGCTTTGAAAAGAAGGGAAACCACTGCAGAAGGTTCAGCGTTAATTTTTGCCCTCTCCTCCACCTGCCTCCCGCCTCACCCCAAGCACAGCACGGGGTAAAGCGGTAAAGTGCAAACGGCTGGTGGTTTTTTCCAAATCCATTGCCCTAATCCTGCTTCCCCCCCCCCCCCAGTTAATAAATCACTAACAACTCTCAGAGCAAGGTGCCGCCTACCCTGGAAATCCCAGCTGAGCTGGTACCCGGGTGCCGGGGTTAGCAACCTGCTCCCTTCCCTTTTAATCCCAGGGCTGGAGATGGGGGGTGGAAATT